CTGCTGCTGCTGCTGCTGCTGCTGCTTCTTTCGCGCGACTTGAGGCGCTGGAGAGTGCGGCGCATCGCCACGGCTCAGCACGCGCGCGCCCGGCCATCAAGGCAAAATCCAAGTTCTTCTTGCAGCTTCGAAAAAGTCGCAGTGCGACGCGAGCGCATTTTTCTTCTCGTGTGCGATCGAAGGCGCGGGCCTCCTTCTTTTTCGAAAAGAGTTGCGATCTCACACACTAAAACTGAGCTTCCGGTTCCAGCCACCCGTCGTGCTGATGACAGGCCTCAAGACGCCTTCTCACAGCCCTGCTTATGCGGAAAGAACTTCAAACATCTGGCATTGGCATGGCGCTACAGCGCCCAGTCTTCGACCCAGTGGTCCGGCATGAGCAGCAGCGCGCGGTCGATAAACGTCAAGAAGCGCGTCCGGTAGTCCGGCGGCGTGATGATCGTCGGCTCGCCCTTGCCCGCGCCTCCCAGCAGCGCCGTCTCCTTGACAAAGCTTTCGACGCGCTTGTCCCAGGTGTAGGTGCGCACAAAGTCGATGATGCCCACCACGAGCTGCTTGCTGGCGCGGTCGACGCCCACCATGAGCGAGTAGTCCATCACGTTCATGTCCGCCAGGAAGAGCGAGTCGTTGTACAGGCTCGCGCGCAGCAGCTTCTTCGAGTGCTCGCGGATAAAGATCGGCGTGAGCTGGTTCGTCTCCACCAGATTCTCGTCCAGCAGCACCTCGCTCTGCTTTCCCGTCTCCTGGACGTACCGATTGCGCGTGCTCCCCTTGAGATCGTACGACCGGATCCCCTCGAGCCCGTAGAACAGATTCTCCATCACAAAGCAGTCCAGCTTCAGACTCTTGCCCGTCTGAGGATTGCGGAAGCCGATGCGGAAGCACCCAAAGATCTTGGCCAGCGCAGTACGCCGCCCGCGCGACAGGCACTGCGACATGTACGCAAAGTACTGCGGCGCAAACTTGGAGAAGGCATCCATCTCGAACCTCGACAGCTGCTTGACCACCAGCCGATGATCGCGCGTCTTGAGGAAGGCAGACCCCGACTTGCCGCCCGAAGAGTCCCACTTGAAGCAGCGCGACAGCGACTCGACCACGCTCACGTCGCATCCGCACATGCGGCGCAGCGCGTCAAACTGCTCCGCAAACAGGATCTTGCACCACAACCGCGTAGTGCCCGATTCGAACTCGCACCTGAAATGGCGCCCCTCCTTCTTGAGCGTGCCCTCGAGCTCGTTGGCCTCGACGTCGACCACATCCCATCCGTCCGCCGAGCCCGCCACGCTCGCATTACCCGGCATGAACGCCTCGTCCTTCTCCTGGATCCACGGCGCCTCGCTGCGCATGCCGCGCAGCCGCTCCTTGTACTGCATCGAGCTCAGCGTAAACGCCACGATCGACGTCGGCTCGTCCTCGCGGAAGATGACGTCCGAGTCCGCAAACACGTGCTCCGAATTCAGCATGGGATACTCGAGCGGCACCATCTCGCCCGTGCGGAACGCCCAGAAGCCGGACAACGTCTTGAGGAAGCTGCGCTCCAGGCTCGGCATCGAGTCCGAGTCCGACGCAAAGCCGCTGCGCAGATACGACGGCAGCGTCAGCTGCGTGTTGCTTGTCGTCGCCACCGACGACGCCGCGATCGACTGAGCGTCCGACTCGAGTTCGCTCGCCGGGACGGGCGGCGACTCGTTGGTCGCGCGCCCAGTCTCTTCGCTCGCGACCGTGCATGCGTCGTCCGCCACCGACGAGCTCGCACCCGCTGCGGTATGGGCTGAGGAGGGCACTGCGCCGGACCCGTCGCCGCTGGATGGAACGGCGACTCCACGCCCGCCCTTGATCGTCCGATCGCGCTCGTCTTCCTTGGCTGGATCGTCATTCGTGCCCTTCTGCGTGGTAGCCGCTTTCTTGGTCGCATCCCCAGCTCCATCTACAGCAGACGCGAGGCCATCCTGTTTCGTTGCGGACTTGCGCGGCTTGACGAGCGCCTGACCCTGCTGTGCGCGCCCGGCGGCCATCGCAAGCATGCGCTTATCTGTATAGCCCGTCGGCTGGGCGGCGAGGTCTTCGTCCGAGTCATCATCTTCGTCGTCCTCGTCCTCGTTATCGGCAGCCGACGCGCCGTCGTCGTCTTCGTTCTCCGCTGCCGATTCGGCCTCGCTCTCGTCATCGCGCACCGCCTCGCGCACGCTGCTGAACACCTCCACCCTCGCCCGGGTCATTGCCACGGGTCGCGCGCGCTTGGCCCTCTGCGCCAGCAGCATCCTGTGCTGCCGCTCGCGCTCGCGCTCCGCCTCTTTGCTGATGCGGTCAAAGTGCTTGGCAATCGTCGACACGCGGCTGCGCGTGCCCGGACCATGCTCGCTCCTCCTTGCCACGGGCACGCGGCTGCCCCCGGCTGCGCCTGCGCGGATGCTGCTCGCGCCGTCCGACTGATACGCCCCGCTCTGGCTGCGCATGTTGGCTGGTCCGGTCGCAGCCGACGTGGCGGCAGCCAGTGCGGTTGCTGCAGCTGACGCGCCCGACCGCCCGATGATCGCACGTGGGCCCGCCTTGAGGCCCTCGGACTTCGGCGGGCGGTAGCTGGACGGCGGAGGCGCCTGCGCAGCCTTGTTCGGCGTCGCCGAGCCGCTTCTGCGGCCGATCGTCGATACGGACGTCGAGCTCTCGGTCCGCTTGGCGCGCGGCAGGCGACTAGTGCGCCCGCTTGCCGCCGACGTCGGCGTGGGCGAGTTGACGTTCGAGTCCGACTCGCCGTTCTGCGCGCCGGAAGCCTTGCGATTTCTAGCGATGTCCTTGGCATGCGTCGACATGGGCTCCTCCGTCTTGCCGCGCCGCAGGCTGGGCCGCCGGATCGAGCCGTTCGGCCCCACGCGCGGTGAAGCGGCGCCTGACCCGCCCGCTACA